TTATTATTATTATTGTTATTATTATTATTATTATTATTATTATTATTATTATTATTAATTATTATTATTATTACTATCATTATTATTATTGTCATTATTGTTATTATTATTATTATTATTATTATTATAATTACTATTATTGTTATTATTATCATTTTATTATTACTGTTGTTATTACTACTTACTACTATTATCGATTACTGAAAATAATTCGATTAACTAATTTAATTTTGAAATACTTGGCAAACTTCAATTTTTTTTCATTTTTAGCAAAATAAGATGACTTTCTTTTCAAAGCTCATATTAAGTATTATAATATTTACCAAAGGACTGAAAGGAAATTAAAAATGGTTGGAATTTGCTATCGCGAATAGTAGTAAATGGGACGATTAAACTGTTGAATGACAAATGAATAAATATTTTATGACAATCACTTTAAGCCTTAATGGTGTTTGTTATAGAATTCGACTTTTTCTGTTAATTATTCAAAATGAATAATTAATTAGTAAATAGGATTAAAATGGTAATTTGAAGATTCTTCAAAAGATTAGGTAGGTTGAGGAAGCCAGTCGTGAGAAGTATACTTCGGCCATTTCCAGCAAAATAGAAGTGTCTGAAGCCTGAATAAAAAAGCCAAGAAGTTCGGGGATCACAATCTTTTCTATTAACACAATTTATTCCATTGACTTCATTAACACTGAATCAGTTTCATACTTGCTAATTAAGTTATCATTTATTTACTCCTATCATTAGATCAATTCTTATCTATTCTTGTCATTGGATCAATGCTTATCAATTCTTGTCATTACATCAATTCTTTTCCATATGTAATCATCATGCTTCATTATCAACATTCATTCTTTCCTAATTAATATCAATTAATTATTGTATGCTCTTACATTACTAGCTTTTGTTGGTTCACTTTTTGCTCCTTTTACGTAAAGTATGCCATGAATACGTTAATGAGACGTGAAACGTGAAAATGTAAAGATTTGCCTATTATTGGTTCAATTGATCAGCAACAATTATCATACTATCATCAATCAACTCAACGATTCATTCATTCATTTCGATCTGATAACTGAATTACTGCGCGCAATTTATCCAACTCTAGCAACCATCTAAATTGAAGCGGTAATGTCAATCAAATGATTGATCATAATTAAACAATACAATATATGATGAATGAGAAGAAAGAATTAAACAAATTTATTAAAATTATTAATTTTTTTTTATTTTTTTATATTTTTATTTATTTATTTATTTTTTTTACAATAAAAATAACAAAGTTTAAATAAATAGAAGGATAATAAGAGAGAGGGAGAAATAGAGGGAGAGAAAATTAAAAAAAGAGAATGGAAGAATTGATAGGAAATTGGCCGATAGCGATGAGAAAAAGAATGATTGAATATAACAGTAAAATGGGGGAAAAGATTGTCAACACACAAGATTGTCAACCATTAACTGACTGACTGACTGATTAACAGACTGATTGATTGATTGACCAACCGACTAACTAATCGACTGACTGACTGATTGAATGATTTGATGAGAATGTAAGAATATTGTCGTTATGTTGTAATAACAATAAAATAAAACATTATCATTGTGACGCTTAGATACCAAATCATTTTCAAAGCTATGTTAACAATGGGTAAGTAACTGGTTTTTAGCACCAATGGAAAGGCAAAAAAAAAAAGGAAAAAGGTTCCATACCGGATAGGAATAATAGTGATCCGAAACGGAACGGGAAATACAATTTAAGGAAACGTTACATACCGGATGGGAATAACAATGATTCGGAACGGAACGGGAAGGCACAATTTAGGAAAAGGTTGCATATCGGATGGGAATAACAATGATACTAAATGGAAAACGGAAGCAAAATTTGTGGAAAGCTAATAATAATAATGATGATATGGAACGAAGCAATGTTGGCAACTTTAAAGGAAGCTAATAATGATGGTAATGCGGAACGGAATAGTGGCAAGTTTTAAGGTGGATAACAATGATGATAATGTAGAATGGAATGAAGAGAACTTTGAAGGAAGCTAATAATGATGGTAATGTCGAACAGAATATTGGCAAATTAAGGAGGGTAA